AAGTAATAAGAACTAAGGAGTAATAAAATCCAAAATGTGTAAATTTTGTTGTAAAAAAGAGAGGGGAAAAAAAAAGAGCTCTAACGGATATAACAGCAAGTGTGTTTAGGGGTGTTAAATAGCTGACTATATTAATGTTTTTGGATCATTGAACACAGCTGTTTGCAGTCTCTCTGTTTGAATGTCTACTTTGTATTCTTTGATACTGTGATTTGAGCAACCATTTCCAAGATGATAATATGTAATCTATTAACAGGTGATTTCTTACTGTTATGTTTTTTTTTTTGTAGTTCTGTATTAAGTGTACCCTTACACCGCTTTGTTTTGTTTTGTGTTTTTCTCTTTTTCCTCTTAAATAAAATTAAAAAAAAAAGAACTATCTGCAATAACATTTGGAGAAGAAAATAGAAAGCTAATTATCTCTCAGGACAGCTTGTTAACACTAACAGGTGGGAAGGGGTTGAAAGTTACAAGAAGCTGAAACTTAAGCCTTCACAAGGATTTGGAACTTAACCCTTTTGGTGCATTAGGGTTAAGCCACAACCTTTTCCTGTAATTTCTCTGAAGCTAAGGCACATTTTACGACAGACCACCACTGGGTCAGGAAGAGGCCACCAGAAACCCAAAATTTTTATGGTCTAGCCTAGATAGATAGGTAAGGGGAGAGGGAGGCAGTAAGGTGCAATACAGAACAGAAAACTGCCGTTATGTTTTTCTTTCTTTCTGGGGAGGGCATCAAGTCAGGTAAAGGGTTATGATAATAAGCAAATCTCCCTGCACACAAGCAAGTTACTTCAAACAAAGTGTAAATTAGAGGGCCATCCTAGTTTTCTTTAGCTCTTTAGCACAGAATAGAGGCGCCTAACAGTTACTAACAACCCTTATTAACTTGTTTTAGCACAACTTCTGTTATTTAGAGGGCAACAATTGTTAACATATCAATTAGGTAAGGTTTTACAATTCTTTACAGAGGAGAGCATTGCTTAATATATCAATTAGGTCATCAAAAGGGAAAAGGAAAACATACATAAGCCATGTTTCAGGTTTTGTTATAATACACATATAACGAAGCTATTTTCTTAGAGTACAACAATTGATAAAATATTTAAAATATGAAGAGGACAATGATTGAGTGGCCAAGTTCTGTTTCCACCATAATAGAATTTCTTCCTCAACAGGAAGAAAGGAGCAAGATATTCATCTCGACCACTGAGTAAAAAACAATACTGCTTTAAGTTTCAGTTTCCTGAGAAAATGAAACTTAATGTGATTGGTTTCAGCCTTGGGCACTTGCCTGCAGCCAGAGTAAAGGTATAAATAGCTGGCTGGAACCAAACTCTCCACTGAAAATTCAAAGGCAGTTGTCAGTGCTGCAACCTCAGAAAATTCCTCTTTGCTTGGTAAGACTGGGAGTTGTGACTAGGGCTCCCCTTCTTGTGGTCCCCAAACTCCAGGGGCAGTGCGCTCTGTGTGCAGTGCCTGCCGTACCTGTCTTTCTGTCCTCATCAGGGCAATTGTAAGAGAAGGTGAGTATTGGGAGGGATGAGCCTTGAGCTCCTGCACTTGGATTTGAGAATAATGCACATTGCACACATTGTTTCCCTCAAGTGTAAAGATGGCACAGGGGAGGTAAGTGTTAGGCGGAGCAAAATCACAGCTAGCACAAGCTTCTCATTTGGAGCACCTGCACCTGGCTGGGGTCTTGCATGCTGTGGAGCCTTTGGACTTGGAGCAAATCCTTTATCCTCTCCGAGCTGGACTATTTCCACACTTGGAAAATGAGGAGAGTTTTGTGAGCTGGGTCTTAATTAGGTTGTTGACTTTTTCTTTTTCCCGAGGACTGGGGTATGAAGGGAGTAAGAGTCTGTTTCAAGAGTCTTGGAGACCTCTAGGTAATTTATGCAGTAAAAGTTGGCCCATCATCTGATCGGATTGAAGTGGGGAGTCCAAATCGGGGGATAATAGTAGACAGGAGGCACTGTATGACTGCTTCAGCCTTTTCAGAGGTGGTAGAGAAAGCCTCAATCCAACCTGTAAAAAAGTCTAGTCTGACTAGGAAGTATCTGAATATTTTAACTCTTGGCATATGTGTAAATTCGATTTGCCAATTTTGGGTGAGGGTAAATCCATGGGCTTGGTGAGTTGGATAGGAGGGGGGACAGAGAAAGCCATGGGGGGCAATGGAGTGGCAGACTGGTGATCTGTCTTAGTGTAGCTTTCCAGGAAGGGGCTGAAATGAGAGGCTAGAGGAAGTGATGGAGGGATGTGTGGCCTATGTGGAAGCTATCATGGAAGAGGAAGAGAATTTGGTGAGTTTGGGCAGAGGAAGGATATATTTTCCTTGGTTGAGGAACCGTTCCTCTGAGGTGGGGAGAGTCTGGTATTGTGAGTGTTCTTCTGTGGAATAATTGGGGGTGATGCCTGTCAGGGACAGGCATTGGCCCTGGGGGTGCGGTGGAGTGCTGGTGAACGTAGCCATCTTTTTTGCTGTCTGGTCTGCAAACAAGTTCCCTCGTGTGATGGGGTCTGTGGGCTTTTGGTTTCTCTTGCAGTGGATTTCTTCTGCCTGGGCAGGTAGGAGGGCTGCCTTTAGGAGTCTTTATTAGATTCAAATTGATGATAGAGGATCTCCTGGTGGTAAGGAATCCTCTCCTTGCCCATATTGCTGCATGATTGTGAAGGATCTCGGAGGCATGTTTTGAGTTTGTGTAGATATTAATTGTGGTCCCCTTTTGCCAGGGTGAGGGCTTGGGTTAGGGCTATGAGTTTGGCCTGTTGCGAGGTGGTATTTGGGGGAAGAGCTTGGGCTTCAATTACCTTGTCAACTGTAACTATTGCAGAGCTTGTGAAACAGGTGTTGGGGGTTGTGTGTAGGAACATCTGTGATGTGGGGGAGGAGCCGGGTGTGTGATTGTATGGGGGAAGGCAGTTATGCTTCCAAGTGGGGCGCATGTTGTCTTTTGTCTCTATGAGTGGGATCAAGGGTGTTGCAGGGTTGAGGCTGGGGCCTGGGGCTAGTGTGATGGTGGGAGAAAAAGAGCATAGAGCTGGAGGAGTCTCGAGGTTGAGAGTAGGTGGGGGAGATATGAAGGGATGAGGAGGGCTTGGAAGCTGTGAGGAGCATAGGGTAATGGGGCTGGGGAGAGTGATTTTTTTGGCTTCTTAGAGCATAAGTGCAGCGGCTCCTGTTGCGGTGGGGTCTAATCGTCAGGATAGAAAGGTGACAGGGTGGCGTGTTAGACTTAGATTCAGGATGGCTGCGGCATCTCCCTTGTGTTCTGTTGTGCGTAGGGATAAGAGGGGTGTGGAATAGACAGAGTGGTAGTTAAGGTTAAGGTCTGCTTTAATTTCTGAAGGGAGCATGGGGGAAAGCCTTTTGGTCTAAGTGGCCTGGAGGTTGTCGTAGGTGGCTTCATAGGGAGATTTGGTGAGAATGAAGGAGCCTGGGGTCCAGAGGTGGAAGTAGCTGATGATTCCCAAGAAGGAGAGGAGCTGCTGGACAGTGGTGAGTGTCTGGATTTGGGTAATGCATTGTGTGTGTTGCGGGTAGGGGAGAATTCAGGTGTTTTTTGGTAGGAAGATGTCTACATATAGGATTGATGTCTTATAAACTGGGCCTTGGAGGGGGAGACTTGATATCTCAGTAAGTCTAAATGTTGGAGGAGCATGAAGGTATCTTTTTCTTTTCTTTGGGTAGGAGTGATACTGGGGATCACAACCTCATGCTTGTCAGTCAGGTGCTTGTGCCGCTGAGCTATATCCCCAGCCTGGGCGAGGGTATCTTGATGGCAGGATAAGACAGAGGGCTGCAGAGAAGGAGGTCAGCAGCACATTGGAGGAGACAGGAAGCTGTGGGGCACAAAGAAAAGAGGTCCTCGGTGAGGGCCTGGCTAACATAGCGAGGGCTATCACTGAACCCTTGGGGGAGGACCGTTCAGGGGAGTTGTTGTGAGGTGGGTTTCTGGGTCTGTCCAAGCAAAGGCAAAGAGTGGTTGTGATTTGGATGCAGGGGTATTGTAAAAAAATTAAAATTAAAAAGCATCTTTGAGATCTAGGACAAGGTAGTTTGTGGTGGATGGGGGAATGGAGGACAATGAGGTGTCGGGGTTAGAGACTATGGGGTGAATTGGAAGTACAATCCAGTTGCTAGGTTAGAGATCCTGTATCAGGAAATATGATAGATTAGAATTTTTGATGGTGAGGATGGGGTATTGAAAGGGAAGCTGACAGGCATGAGGAGGCTGTGTTGGAGGAGACAGGCAATGAAAGGTTGAAGTCCTCTGAGAACTGACTCAAGCAGAGGATATTGGTGCTGAGTGGTGTATGGGTGATTGTCTTTAAGAGGACTAAGTAGGGGAGTTCGGTGTGTGGCCATAGAAGGGGTAGAGATGTGGCTGGGCAGGGGTCTAGTTCAGAGACCTGACATTTAGGACCCTAGCTCTGAAATTAAAGAGAAGATGATGAAGAAGCAGAGACTTAGCACCTCGGCCAAGGGACTTGCCTTGACAATGTTATTGGTTCTGGTTTCCTTTAAATGGTTGCCTTTAAATTGCACCAGCAGATTTAAGGGAGTCCCAGAAGTGTCTAAGACATGAGCACTGGGACTTTTGTGAAAAAGGAAACAGTCATCTGAGGGGAATAAAATTCCCTGAGGCCCTGCACAACCCAATATTCACAGCCCTCCCTCCCTCACTCAAGCCCCATTCCAAACCCAGCACTCGGCCAGCAGAGCAGCCTTCCACCTAGCCTGAGGCCATGCAAAATTTTCAGAGTATTGCAGAAAAGGAATGGAAGACAGCACAGCACCAAGGAACCTGGAAGGCAAACAGCTTTATTTATACCAGTGGACTAGTGTAAAACGTCTGTTCCAAGTCACCAGCCTCATCTAGGGGTTAAACAGTCACGTATAAAAATTGCTAGGAGAATGTACAAACGGCTGATTACAGGATATTCTATAGCTGACTACATACTGTTTCAGGAGTTAATTGGAGGTTACTTACCATATAGAATGGGGGTCAGTGAGCAGGAAAAATCAATTGTTGTCTAAGACCAGGCTGGATCTTCCTCTAGATGACAAATCCTTGAAGAGCTGACATAGTAAGATGCACCATCCAGCTGAGGTACACTTGTGAGCTGCAGCTGGCATTGGAATGCCAAGGTTCACTGAGTTTTGTTACTTTCTAATTACTGGAACCAGGCTGGATTTGCTTGGCCAGCTCTTGAATCTAATGTCTGGCTGTAAGTTTTTAAATTCCCTTTACAAGAGGAGTGGATAAGAAGATGGTTCTGGGTCCCCTCCTCTCACCCAAGTAACACTCTTTTTGCAGACTTGGCTCAAGTTGGGAAGCTTCACATCTTTACCATGGAATTAGCTGGTGCGGGCGCTCTGGCTTCATCTCTGGGTGCTAAGATAGCATCAGCAGTGACCTTGGCTCAAGCTGCCGGGACGACCACTGGCACCTTCATAGCTGGCCTTTCATCGCAGGGTGAGTATTCCTGAGAAAGGAAGTGCTGAGGGCAAGAGGGCAATCGAATTGGGCAGTCTCACGTAATGCTGCCTGCAGTTGTCCAGTCTATGTTCCTATTGCAAAGGTCTTGGGGGAGGCAAGACCCTGCCTGTGGCCTGAGATCTGAGCCCCTAAAGACTCACACCTAGATGTCCCATACACACCCTCCTTTGAACCTGGCCCTCCTCTAGCCTAGACTGAGGAGACTGTGGGTGGGTCCTGCCCTCTCATGTGGTCCTTGACACCTTCCTTTAGATTTTCACTCAAGTATCCCTTTGTGTGTGTGGCCCTTCTCCTATCAGTGTGTCCTGTGAGTTACCCAATCCAAAGCTCTGGTTTTGAACAGAATTCTCTGTGTTAGTTTCTTTCTTTGTAGGATTTTGCAGACCTCTCTCTGGTTTTATCTACGTGTTCTGATCATGTATCTACCCTTATGTCCTCAATTTCCCTCTGTCATTGTCAGCATTTCCACACAGTTAATGTGTGTGTCTGACCTGCACTTTTGCAGAAGAGTGCTGTTTGCATTTGCATGTGTTTTAGTTTATACACAGGACAGACTGTTTTACAGCTTATTGTAAAGCTGTTTTTCACATTAATAACTCTGATTGTGGAAGCCCTCCATGGCCTTAGGGGAGCTTCTGACCTTCACCTCTCTATGCTGCCACATGTGTGGACACCCAGAGATTCTCCAACATTCACCAACACAAGCACATGACATTGACTGGAGGGACAAGTCTGTGACCCTTACCCAGTCCTTTGACTCTGCATCTCTCCAGGGCTCGCACTGGTACCTCAGGCTGCCCTGGCCCCTGCAGCGTCTGTCCTGGGCTCTGCAGTGTCTGCCCTGACTCCCGCAGCGTCTGCCCTGGGCTCTGCAGTGTCTGCCCTGACTCCCGCAGCGTCTGCCCTGGGCTCTGCAGGGACTGCTCTTGGCGCCATCCTGCCAGAGTCCTCTGCTGTTCTTGCTGTGGCATCTTCCTCAATTGGAGGTAAGTGGTCCTGGGTAACAGACATTCCTCCTTGGGAACACAATTCAGCAGGAACAGTGTGTTGAGGGCCAGGGTCACAGGAACATTCCCTTCTGCTTGTCAGAAACGTAAACAGAACCTCAGTGGAAGATAAAGAAATCCACATGATTCAGATAACAATAAGTGGGAGATGTGCCAAATTTCTGCTGAATTCAGTTGACCTTGACAGTGTCTAAAACCCAGCTGCATACCTCTGAAAAGCACTGTGTCAGAGTAACTTGGTTGAGTATTTTTGGCACTTAATCAGAGAGAGATGAATACAGAGGCCTTTAATGCAGGCATGGGAGAGTTTCCTAGGGGTGGAGTGGCTCTCAGTGAGAACAAAGAAGTGGGACTAGTTTTATCAGTTCTGACTCGGGGAGGAGTTTGGGAGGTGGGCAAAATGACATTAACAGCTGATTTGGAGGAGCATGCCTGTGGGAAACAGGAAGCAGAAAGATTTATGGGCGTGGGGGAGTGGAGTAGTTGGGTGGTTGCATAGTCTTGGGACTGGAGAGGGCTCGGTGCACACACAAAAAGGGAGTGGGAGGTTTATCTCTGGAATGAGAAGAAGAGCTTCTCTGGGTCCTGTAGCAAGCTGGGCAGGTGTCCTGTTACCAATAGCTAAGCCCAGGCTAGCAGAACCTGTCATATTTGTGTATACTTTAAGTTACCCTGGACGAGTGAAGGACCCCGTTAACTATGCTCATCCTGTAAGGACCTCCTCCCCTTCTTCCCAAAATGTTTCTAAACTAGCCTGCCTGTCAATATATGACTCAATGCATGTAGCCCATTATGGGTTTTTTTGTTTTTGTTTTTGGTACTGGGGATCGAACTCATGACCTTGCACTTGCCAGGCAGGCACTTGTGCTTCTGAGCTATAACCCTGGCCCTATGTAACATTATGTCACTTGCTTTTAAATTCTATATAAACTAAGCTATCTGTGAACTCAATGCTGTTGCCTTTGAGGAACTACCCTGCAACAGTCCACTAGTGTGAAGATTCAACGCTACCTTCTTATCTCCTTGGTACAAAGAGCCTTCCTTTCAGTTTGGTTTGGCTTGAGAATTTTCCCACAACAGAAATACAGAGCGAGACCCTGTCTCAAAAACAAAACAAAGCAAAACAAACTAAAAGATAACAGATCCATTATATTTTACCAAGTGCTTTTTGATTTTACTGGCTGTGGGTAGCACTTGACATTTATTAATTCCTTTAGTCCTCCTAACACTGCAGAGGAAAGTGATATTGTCCCTTTTTACCAAGGAAGATCATTTATCAAAGTCCAGGTGCCCTGAGCAGGAAAGTGAATGTATCCCTTTAGAGCATAGGACAGAAAATAAAACAAAAATGGAGACTTGTTCCAATCACAGAGTACAGGGTGGGGGGACCTGCCGGGCAGGTCATGCACAGCCCAAAAGAGCCAGCTATGCCTTCTGCCCATGACCACCAGTGAGTCCTGCAGGCCATCAGACAGCCCCCATTGCCTCTGGGTTTTGTGCATGCCACCCTCAGAGGGCAGCCAGCTAGCGTCTCCTGTCCTGCCTGTCAAGAGAACCCAGCAGTAAATACCTTTTGATACAGAGGAGTGAAACTCCCGACCTACTATATGTCCAGTACAAGTTTGTGTTCTCCAAAATTGAAGAATGAATTTTAGGAACAATGCAGGTTAAGAGTAGGAATATTTATTGAGAGAAAGAAAGCTTCTGTCTGAAGAGAGACAGAAGGGGTTCCAAGTGGATTGCCAAAGATTCTGTATTTTCTCGGGATTTTTATAGCGTAAAATCATAAGGTGAGGCAGGTCTAAAGTTGGGGAAAACTGGGAACTTGCTATGTTTACCCATTAATTGTTCAGGTAAAATTGATTAAATTGGGAACAAATGGGAAAGCAAGTCACGTAGAAAGCGGGCATTCTTAGAGAGTAGTGATTCTTCCCTAGGGATTGGAATGATGACTCCAGATTTCTCAAAATGATCCAGACTTAATCCCTAAGGATTATACTTGAGGGTGTGGTTGTATTTGTTTTGCTTTCTCTCCTGAGATCTGCCCCACAGCAAGAGATGTGTGTCCCCTCCAAGGTCATCAGACATCTGGTCCTCTGTGCTGGCTTCTTCCAGGGCCTAGCCCTGTCTGACTGCCTGTAGTATGTCTAACTAGCTCAGCTGCCTGTAACATTTTGAAATAGGTTCCTGTGTCTTGAGTTCAACATCCATGCTGTATCCCTTCTGGCCACTCAGGATTGGTCCACAGGCACTAGTGTCTACTTCCTCCATTGTGGAGGCCAGGCCTCTCCCTAAGAGTTGGCTAAGCCCACTGCACTTGACATTGTTTTCAGAACTTCTGGTCCTGGTAGGGTCAAAGAGTGTAGCCCACACCCTTATAGCTGCAGGAGACCAGGATCTTGGCACCCAACACACCACAGGCTCCTGATGCTGAGGACTTAGTCCCATATAAACGCAAAATTGTTTGAAGTTGGGTACTCCAGTCACAAAAACGTAAGAATGAATTCTGGTTGGGAGTGTCAAGAAGCTTCTGGAGGAGGCGATGTGCTGTGCTCCTTGAGCATGGTGCCCTTTCCTCCAAGTATGGCTCTCAGGTAGCACTGGAATCTGCGGTGCTCACCCTGCCTCCTGTGGGCACAAGTACAAAATGCGGTGCGACTCTGCCCTTTGCTGTGCTGTTCTTCCAGAAGCTCCTGGACTATAGGGCAGTGTCCTGTAACCTCACTGACAAACACTGAGCCTGGGTCACATGCTCCCAGCCTTATGGCCTCTCCCTGGCCCAGATAAACTACTGGGCTCCCAATTACAGTGCCCAGTATCCTGTGCTCATTAAGAAGGGACATCATAGTGACAATCTCATTATGTGTTTGAACCAGTCGTGGCTTGGGAAGGAGAGAAAGGGCAAAAGGTGACTTCTGATTTCCCCACAAAATCCCCAGTCAACCAGCCAAGCAGCCCACAGGCCAATGAACAAAGAACAAGCAAAACCTGGAATAGGTGTTGGGTCTTCTGGAACCAACACTCCAAACCCCATCTTTAGATCTCTGGGCCAAAGCACGTAATTTACTCAGAACAGGTCTCCAGGGTCCAAATGGAGTTAGACAGGATTGACTCCTCCCCTTCTGCAATCTCCTTCTTAGGATGGCTCAGGGAAGACAGGCAGGGTCATTCCTTCTTGGGAGTTATCCCTGGGGCAGTCCTCATTCTTGGTGGGTGGTTGGCTTGGAGAGGGAGGACAGGGCAGTGTGGATCTCCCCTCACAGAATGTTCTTTTGGTTTCAGCCAAGATTGTCATAGCTGCAGCTGGAGGAGGTAAGTGTCTGCAGGGAAGCAGGTCTAGTCCTTCCCTGGCTGGCACATGGGGACCAGGGAAGCAGCCGTGCTGTCCTTACCCGGGGTTTTCTGGAGCCTCAGGAGATGATGGAGGAGTTGGGAGGAGGGAAAGGGCAGGAGAGAAGAGACTGGAAACCACTGGAGATTAGAAATGGACACAAGGAACAGGTGTAGTGTGCAAGCGGAGTGGCAGTGTCCTCCACAGGGGCCATGTCCCACTGCAGGGCATCCCTGTGACCTTGGCATGTCTTTGAACTTCCTTGGGCTCCTGTTTCATTTCCTGCAGAGCAGGCCAGTGATGTCCATGCAGGGGCCTCTCAGAGGTGCAGAGCTTGAGTTAGAACAGCAGAGGTGAATCACAGGGATGCTTTGGTCCCACCACCATGGGTCTGGTGGCCTCCCATTAACTCAGGGAACCCAAACCACTACCATGGGTCTGGTGGCTTCTCACGTGCTTCTGGAAATTCAGGGAACCCAAGCCGCCATCTTGAGTGGTCCCCAATTGCTCTTCACTCACACTGACTCAGACCAGAGTTGCTTCTGTGAAAGCAAAGCTTAGGAACCATCCCTTGTCCCATCATTGCACTGAGGCTTGGCTGAGTGACTTCTCCAAAGAAGCTCTTGCAGGCCATCAGAGCCTAGATCAGGACCCTGACACCAGGGACCCCCACCCTTCCTTCCACTTCCCCCTGGCCCTGCTGTGTGGCTGGTTACTGCTGACCATGCTCAGAGCCCATCTCCTGTACACCTGGGAAAGACCCCAGGCTTGACCCATGTTGGGATCACTTGCCGTGAGCCCAGCCTCACCAGCTCCTCTCCCCACAGGGCTGGCCGTGGTGTCTGTGCCCCTGGTGCTGAGTGCTGTGGGCTTCACGGGGGCAGGAATCACTGCCTCCTCCCTGGCGGCCAAGATGATGTCAGTTACTGCCATTGCCAATGGTGGTGGGGTGCCCGCAGGAAGCCTGGTATCCATTCTGCAGTCCGTGGGTGAGTGTCCAGCTGGGGCTTGCTTCGGGAGGGATGAGAGGGGGATAAAAATCACAGAGAATCCACCCAGATCTCATGCCTAGGATTCTGTGCATGTGTCACCTTCCAGGTTCTTGAGGTATTTTCAAGGAAAGGCAGGGAACCTGGCTTGACGTGCCAGGTTCCAGCTGGGTTATGTGAGGCCTCTCCTCCATCCCAGCAGATGGAGCAGATTCAGCCTTCTTCCCTGCAGAGGAAGGCAGCTTCCAACTAAATCCACCACTGGAGATCATTGCTATCTCATTCTCTAGGATTTCAGAAACCAAAGGGTGTTTTGTGGCGTCTTTGGGTCTGGGCCCCCCCGTGCCCATCCTAGGGGCTCTCATGGCCCTGCAGTTCTGTCCACTGAAGCTCTCTAGGCTGTACCATTCTGCTTACCCTCTGTTTTTTCTCAGGGGCAACTGGTCTCACTGCATCTTCTAAAACTTTGCTGGGCACCGTTGTGTCAACTGGGACAGCCATTGTGGCATCAGCGGTGGGCCTCTAATAGCTCCAGGCCCTTGCTTGAGAAGGAAAGGACCACAGGAGCAGAGACTGGTGTTCCACAGCTGGGCTGACCCAGGAAGAGACCAGTCCTGAGGTGACAAGTCACCAAATGGTATATCCTTAGGGAAAAGAAAGAATAAAATGAGTTACTGTCCACCTTATCTGTGCAGTGCAGTTCCTTTGCTGTTGTGATTCGCCTGGGAAAGGCCAGGGCTGGGCGGTGGCTTCTCGGATAAGCAAGGGCATGTTAGGCTCAGTTCTTTCTCCCACCACATAACCACAGGGTGACATTTCATTAGAATGTGCTGATCTGAAATGAATCTACAGTGAAGACAAACTGAACCCTGCCCTGTGTAACTCTGGGCAGGTCACCTCTTCCCTTAATTAATCTCCCTGTACATTGGAAATGGAAACAAATGCACCTGTAAGGTTGGGTGTGGTGGTGGAGGGCATCCTATTTGCAGTCATTTACGTCCAAGCCAGAGTGTTGAATCCTTGCACACTTGCACCTCAGCTATATACCCAGTGCTGCTTTCTCTTATGGCTCAAAAGTGTCACTGGTTTGTCCCAAACTCAAAGTTCAAATGTTTTTTTCCCCCCACAGCAATGGGTTGAGGAAACTCTGACTCTTGTGCTCCATAGCCCTACTTCTTAAAGGTTTTCCCTTCCCATAATAAGGATGTATCAGTTAACTTTTTTGTTGCTGGAGTCAAATATCTGACACTCACAGGTGATGGTGTTTGTGTGACTCATGTTTCACGGAGTTCAGGTCATGGTTTGCTGCATCAAAGGAGGAACATCGTGGTGCAAGAGCATGGGTGTAATGGGAAAAGCTGCTTACCTCATGGTACCCAGGAAGCAGAAAGACCAGGAAAGAGCCAGAGATAAAGGGTACAGGGATCAAGTAGAACACTCAAGGTCACACCTCCATGACCCATCCTTTGTGAGTTGAAACTCTGAAACCTTGAATCTTTGAGCCAAATAATCACTCCTTCAAGTTGTGGTTGTCTAATATTTTGTCTTGACAACAGGGAAACTAATACAGTATCACAACATTACAGAACATTTTAATGAAATCAACATTTTATTGCACTTACATTATCTCAGATCTTCAAATCCACTCTGCTTTTAGAAGTCTGCGTTTCTATGATGCTCAAGCTCCTTTGGCTCTGATCGTCACCCTTGTCTTCCTCACAGTGGCTCTGTCCATTTGCAGAAGGCATCACTGCTAAAACTGGATATGTCCCTTTCTCTATCCCTCCTTTCTATTGTATCAGGAAGAACCTATAAGCAGAAGTTTCCTGCCTTGATCACTGATAAGCATACAAGTCAGCACTGTCAAGGTTATTCACACCATTATGAAAAAGATCTCCCCAATATTTTCATCTTGCAAATATGAAGTGCAATATGCATTAAAAACAGCACCTCTAAGAAACACACAAACAAAAAACCAGCACCTCTTCCCCTTTTCTTCCTGCCTCTGGTGCTTACCTCGCTCTTTTCTAGCTCTATGAATCTGATGACTCCAAATATCTCCTAGAAGTGAAATCCTGTAGAATTTATCTTTTGCGTTTGGTTTATTTCACTGCATGTCATGTTCACAAAGCCCATTCTGTAAGAGCATATGTCAGAATTTCCTTCCTTTTTAAGGCTGAGCACTAGTCTATCGTGTGGCTAGGCGACATCTGGTTCATGCATTCATTCACTGGTGGACACTCGGGTTATCTACATCTCGTGGCAGTTGTGAACAGTTTTGCCTTGCACAAAGGTGAGACAAAAATGTCTCTTTGACTCAGTGTATTTGTCTACTGAGGCCACTTTAACATATCCCACGGATGGAGAAGTTAGAAAGGGCAGAAATATATTTTTCACAGTTCTGGAGATGGTAAGTCCACGATTGAGGTGCTGGCTGATTTGGTTTCCGGTGAGGGCCCACTTTCTGGTTCAGATGGAGTTTCTCTCCTCACACAGAGAAAATGAAGTTCTCTGGGGCTTCTTTTACAAGGGGCACTTCCCACTTATTAGGGCTACGTGCTCATGATGTCATAATCTCTCTAATCTCACCCCCTCATGCCACATACCAATTAGGATTTAGCAACCGACCTTGAAGCAACGTAAAAATTTAGACTAAGAACTCTGCTTGCAATTCTTCTGGGTATACACCGAGAGGCTGCGTCATGGGGTAGTTTTATTTTTAGTGTTTTAGAAACTTCAATGCTGTTTTTATAGTGGTTATTCCATCGTATAATCCCAGTAACAATGGTCATGGGCCACAATTTCTTTCTATGGAGCTCAAAAAAATTTTTTTTACATTGGCCTTCCTAATGTGTGTGAGGTTCTATCTCGTCGTGGTTTTGATGTGCATTTTCCTAATTAGTGATCTTAAGCATCTTCTGATGTGTTTGTTGGTCACTTGTATACTTCTTTGAAAATAATGTATATTTATGTGTTTTCCTCTTTTTAAATTAAGATATTTGTTTTGTTTTTTGTTGTGGACTTCTAGCAGTCCTTTATATATTCTGGATAGTAATACTTTGTTGGATGTATCTTCTTCCACTCTGTACGTTGCTTTTCATTCTGTTAGTTGTGTCCTTTGACCCCCAAATGTTTTAAGCATGCTGTGGGGCCATGCTTAATTTATTAAGTGAAAATTTATCTATTTTTGGTTTTGATGCCTGTACTTTTGGTGTCATTGCCAAGAAATTATTACCAAGTCAAATGTCATGAACCTCTTCCCCTATGGTCTTCAGTTTTCTAGTTTGGTGTCTATGTTTAGATCTTTAGCATTCGATGCCTTTTTAAAGTTGCTGCTGTCAGTAGATGTGTAGAAGACATAGACATAATAAGTACCTCCACAGACAAGGTTTTATGTTGTGCTGCTTTATGCATTTCTGTTTCAGTACTGGAATCCAAATCTGGGGTGCTCTACCACTGAAAACACCTGCAGCCCCTGTTTTTATCTGGAGTCAGGGGTCTTGCTAAGTTGCCCAGTATGACTCTGGAATGTGATCTTCCCATCTCAAGATCCCCAGTAGCTGGGACGACAGGTATGCAGCACTGTGCCTGGGTTTTTATATGCATTTTAATTGATGCACTTTTGTTTTGGCTACTCCATACTGTGGCACAGCTGTTCTTTTTCTGTTCTTCGGGTCCATTTCATTACTGTAGTGCTGCTCTACATTCCATTGTAAGAATATACCACATTTTAATCTTTCCTCTATTTTACTAGTATGTACGTATTTGGATGCTAAACAAACATTTTCTGACTTGGAGAAAATTCTACATAAATCTCAAAGCTGAAAATGGGGATAAGGATTCCCACTTTCAAAGGCAGTTGTGGAACATGTCAGCTTGGGATCTGTTATCAGAGAACATAGCAAGTCTGAGACTATCAGCCTGTCAGTTACATGCAACCTGTAGGGATGACTTGAGAATCACTGGGAAAGATGCTGGGGAAAGGGACTCAATAAACAAATATTTGTCTGGTGTAAAAAACAATGTTTAATGATCTAAATAAGGATTTTTCACAGGCAAACTATAAATGGCCAACATATATAACAGTTCCTCAACACTAATCATCAGCAAATATAAATCAAAATTACAGTAAGTATCATCTCTAGTATGAATACCCATTACCATAGAGACAAAAAATAACTGCTGGTGAAGACATGGAACAGAAGGGGTTCCTGATGCTGATGGGAATGTCAACTGGTAGAACCAACGTGAGAACAACATGGAGGTTCCTCACATACTTAATAGAACAAGCGCATGATCCAGCCATTCCACTACTAGTTAACTATCTAAAGGAAACGCAATCCATCTGTCACAGAGTGATTTTCACTCCTGTGTTTATTGCACCATTATCACACTAGGCAAGAAGCAAAAAGTAATTCTCCATCAACCGATGAGTGGATAAAGAAATTGTTGTATGTGTACACACTGGCACACACTGTTCAGCCATAAAAATGAATAAAATCCTGTCATTTGCCACAATTTGGATGAAAGGAGATAAACCAGGTAGAAAAGGCAAGGTTGTACAGTCTCATACATAAGTGGAACGGAAGAAGGCTGCTTTATAGAAGTCAAGGTGAGTGGTTGCTCACAGAGGCTGGGGGAGTAGGGAGGAGGAGAGAGATTGATTAATGGGGACCAAGTTATAGTTAGACAGAAATAACAAGTCGTTGAGTGTTACTGCTCAGTAAGGTGACCAGAGCCAACAGTAATATCCTGTGTATTTCAAAGGCTAGAAGAAGATTTTCAGTACTTTGTCATAAAGCAATGACAAATAAGGCAATAGATAGGTGTAACTTGATTTAAATATTATGCTATGTATATACAAATCAAAACATCTTATACCCCATAGCTATGTACAATCTTTATGTTTTTAGGTATCAGTTAAAATAAATTTAATTTCAGTTGTGAACAAAGATAGAGCAGAAAAATTTAAGTCATTTAAACAGATAGATGCCTGAAAATGCCAAAGAAATGAAGGCTATAGACAGTGAAAGAAGAAGAAAAAACCAAAAAAAAAAAAAAAAAAAAAAAACCAACGGAAAGACTTAATTGCAAAAGCAAAGATAGGTGCTTTGTTTTAATATACTTTTGTGATCTGTCTGGGAGTTTCTTTCTTTTTTTTTTGTCTTTTTCCTTTTTATTGGTACCAGGGATCAAACTCATGACTGCCTGCTTGCAAGGCAGGCACTTATGCCACTGAGCTAAATCCCCAGCCCCTGTCTTGGAGTTTCTTAAAATTGAACATAACAAATTGTACCCTATGGCGCTTCAGTGCTCCACATGCTATCAATCCTTATTAAGTATGATTGGCAAATAATGGGCTGGAACAATTTACCTCGGTGCCCTCCTTGGTTATTTAGCGGCCGATCCTAGAGAGAAGCACAGCTCTGCTGTTAGCTGTGCTCCCCTCTCCACTCTCACCGCGGTAAAAGCAGCTGTCTCTTAAAAGACTGAGGAAGAACAAACCAGTTTAACATGGGCAAGGTCACAGAGGGAGGAATCTGGGCTATTATTAATATTTTCAACCTCCTCACACCCCAGGAGCTATGATAAACACAGCAGTGCTCCTGAATATTCCCCAACTTCAGCCCCATCGTTTTTACAGTGATGTAACATCTGCCAATCAAATATCTCTCACTCTGCCCTG